GGCTCTTGGAATAGCTGATTGCCACTTCCTTTCAAAAGACATTTTTTTTCTGGTATCACTTCATCAAGCCCATCCATCACATTAAGAATTTACTGAACAGTGAAGTAATTACTAAATTTTACTGAGTTTACTAAGTTACTAAGGTTCTTGATAAATGACTATCAGACTTTGAAAACCTGGTATCACTGCATCATGTTCAACAATTTTGTTGAATTAACATTAACTAAAAAGGTTTTTAAATTGGATTTTGAATAAATGTGCAATTAATTGTTGCAGTTTTGGATTTCACTGTTACTATCTTCCTTCCGCTGTGCAAACAGCCCAGTCACATGACCCCCACAGCCCTGCCCACCAAGCCACACCCACAGAAGCGGTAGGAAAAAAATTTGAATTCCACCACTGGGTGGGGGACACCGAGTATCAGTTTGTAGAACCAAGGGGGCAGTGGACTGAAAAAGTTTGGGAACCACTGTTCTAAACTGTTCTTTGAAGAACGGTTGCAGGAATTGGGTATGGCTAATCTAGAGAAAAGAAGAACTAGGGGGTGGGACATGATAGCAGTATTCCAGTATTTGAGGAGCTGCCACAAAGAAGACGGGGTCAACTTATTTTCCAAAGCACCAGAAGGCAAGACAAGAAACAATGGACGGAAACTAATCAAGGAGCGAAGCAACCTGGAATTAAGGAGAAACTTCCTAACAGTGAGAACAATTAATCTTCCCTCAAGAAGTTGTAGGTGTGCCATCACTGGAGGTTTTTAAGAAAAGACAGGACAGCCATCTATGTGAAATGGTACAGAGTCTGCTTGAGCAGGGGGTTGGACTAGAAGACCTCCAAGGTCCCTTTCAGCTCTATTCTGATTGATTGATTGGTTAATTGATTGATTGATTGATTGACTAAACAATGAACAGGTAGGTAGTCCTTATAACCACTGCTTAGCAACTGTTCAAAGGTACAACAGTGGGACTTCTTAGAGTCCAAATTCAAAATTCTGACAGACATCCCACTCTGCTGTGCTCATGTGACTAAACTTTGCGCACTGGTCAACGCAATCACATTTACAGTCATTCGCAGCATCCTGTGGTCATGTGATCACATTTTACCTCAGTTTTGCTGAACCTCAGCACTTCTGGATTTTAGCAAAACCACATTCATAGAATACCATTGTTTTATTTAACAACAGCAGCATTGGTTTTAAAACTGTGAATTTGCCTAATGACCTTAGTGATTCACTTAATGACCACTATGAAAAAATGTCATACAATTGTCTCGGTTACGTAACCAACCCATTTTATAACCTTCATGACTTGATGGGTAGACTCCATTATAGTCAGAATTCAAGGACTACCTCTACTCTAGTCAGGAAAAATGAGGGGCAGAAGGTAAAGACAGTGGCTTTTAGAAAACAGAATTAAGTGTGATGCAGACAATGGAATCAGTTAATACATTACATTTTATTGTTTAATTCTTGGGCATAGTGTTGATGAATTCATGGATTTTAGCTTAGTTCTTTTACTGTGAAACAGATCTTGGGTGAGAGAAAAAAATGTCATTTGATTCCACCTACTTTCTCCTCAGAATATTACCCATAGCCCTGGAAGATTTGTCATAGGGAAAATACTATAGTTTTGGAAATACAAAAATGATTCTCCAACCCTTATCTAATACTTCTCGTCCTCCTCTTCTCATTATTATTTCTTCTTGTAAAATGAGACACGTAAAAGAATCTACCGTTGCAGGGAAACTGGAAGCCTGGATATTAACACAATCAATGAACCATGAGTAGCTACACAGCGTAAAGCTACATACAGTGCCCAGCATGAGAATTATTCTGGAATACAACTCATCTATTTATCTTCAGTACTTACATCAGACTACTGACCTGTAAAATGTACATCTGAGTGGATTTCAAAGACCTAAGTTCAAATCTCTCCTAAGGGTCTAACAAAATATTAGAAGCAGCGGCAAATGGCTGTGATATCACTGCCCTGTAAAACCTCTGTGTGAGGCAGAGACATGGTGTAATGGAGGCATAAAGATTGGGAAGTATTTGTTAACAACAATGGAATGAAGATGTTAGTGACTGTTGAACATCAGGCAACATAATACTTTGAAATGTCATCACAAATGTTTTTGGGATTATCCCTATAGCAGTACCTCTGTACATGTGTGGTACATGCAAAGGTCCCGGATCGTCAGCTGGCATTTTTAGTCCAAATATCAAGACTCGATTGTTTGCTTGTTTGTTTATGTGCTGCCCCTCTCTCTCACACACGTGTGTGTGTGTGTTTTAAAGTGTTTTTTAGAGTTTATTAATGTTCCCCAGGAGTTTCCTTCTCTTAGACTCACAACTGTTCCAAATAAAGCCAGCTACAAGCAGGCCAAGATAAGCCCACAAGGCTATGGCTAATAGTCCATAAAACGATAGAAAGTTACTCCAACAAGTAAGTCCACCAAATAAACTTAAATTTACCAGGCAAAACAGAAAGTACATCCATGAGAGCTCACTTGGCAAGAGACGTTCAGAGTCTCCAAGGTGCAAAGTCAAGCTGAAAGCATGAACAACAACACATAAACGTTGTTCCCAGCAATGCCTCCCTCGGCCCACCATGATAAATAGCTTTCCAGTGCAGCCCATCAAGGCAGATCTCCTTTGCTCTTGCCTTTTCTCTCCCTGTGTGCTTTCAGGTCTACTATAGAATGCAAGGCAGATCTCCTTTGCTCTTGCCTTTTTTCTCCCTGTGTGCTTTCAGGTCTACTATAGAATGCAGTTCCTCCTCCTCTTCTTTACTGACCTGCAAACTGTTTCCACCCAAAACAGTTTCGGCCAGCCATTCAGAGTCATTAATTAACCCGTGCCAGGGTTACACCCCCTTTTCCTGTCCCCTTTCCTTAATTTCCTATTTTATTTTCTCTCTCTTTTTTTTGTATTTTATGCAATAAGAATAAAAAATGGAAAGAGGTAACTTCGAACGAGTGCTAAGCGACCAGTTATAAATTGAGGACTACCTGTAACTGAGAACACTGGTGGGAATAGATTACTATGAGGATTATGTTGCCTATTCCAAATGCTCAAGGGAAGCAGCTCTTCCATTTTTGCAAATCTATATTCGTAATGTGTTTGAGCAGATGCTATTGTATTGCTTTTTTTTTTCTCCCACAGCAAGCATCTTCTGCGGATTTAATGATCAGGAACATCCTTCTGATGCATGCTGGAAGATATGGCTGCAGGGTGCAATCTACAGCAGACAGTGTATCAGATGAGGCAGAACTTCTTGTTAGGGGTGAGTATACTAATCACAGAAGACAAGATCAGCATAAACAATTGCGCAACCCAGTTGAAATATAGACATTGACGCTGATCTCATGGCCGTAAGGTTGCTTTTTTTAAAAAAAAATAACTTTATTAAAAATTACGTTATACAAATAAAACTTGATACTGCTAACTAGATAATAAAGAAATATATTTTTGAAAAATAATAATTAAAAAGCACAGAAAAAGGAAAGAAGGAAGAAAGGGAAGAAAGGAAAATAGAAGAAACTTCTTTCCCAGCAGCTATAATCAACACAATTTATCACAGTCTCTTAGAATACAACCATACCCTCCTTTTCATTTCATATCTCACCCCATTCTTGATAAGCCCAACTCTACAACCTCATCTTTCTATATTATATTCAATTAGAGTTCATTACGAGTTATCAGAAATAACAACATACCATATTTTTTGGAGTATAAGATGCACCAGAATATAAGACGCACCAAGATTTTGAAGAGGTAAATTTTAAAAAAAAGTTTTTGCACTCTGCAAACCTCCCAAACCCTCTGCACACCTCATTTTTTGTGTGAAAAATGGGGCATGCAGAGAGTTTGAGAGGCCTGCAAAGTGGTGGGGGGCAAAAATGAGCAAAAAACAGCCAGGTTTTTGCCAATAAAAGGGTGAGGGATGAGAGGGGCAAAAACAAACAAAAAATAGGCTGATTTTTGCTCGATTTTACCCTCCCCAACACCCCAGGAGCACTTTGCAGGCCTCCTAAACCCTCTGCAGTCCTGGAGTCTGAGGAAGGCTCTGATAAGGGATCTGTGTTGGAGGGAGAGTGGGGGCCAGAGCCGTATGCCAGTTATCAGCTGCCTTCAGAGTCAGACATCAGTGAGGCAGGTGAACAGCTGGAGCCTGTTCCCAGTATGCGCATGCACAGAGTTGTCAGGTGAAGGGAACAGCTAAAGAACAAGGATTGACTTGGGAGTAAGGTCAGATGATGAATTGCCCCTCCCAGAGGAAATAAAAGAGGTGTGAAAGGGGAGTAGAGTTGTGAGAACAAATGGTCACTAAATGGACTGTTGTAAATTGAGGACTACTTATACTGCTAAAAATCTGCCTTCTGCCCTTTAAAAGACAGTTGTAGTTGAACAGACTAGCAATGTTTAGGTGTACCTTCATAGCTTGCATAAGAATGAGGTATAGTTGATCCCTTTACATATTATTGAAAAATCAAAATTGTAGCTCAATTTTTGATACTGATTCAGAACAAATTTGCTGTTGCTATTGGGATTCAGCCATGCCAACTATTATTTATTTGCACATCTTATCAGCTTCCTATGTTTTTCATTTGGCATGACATACACATGCAGTAATGTTTGTTGCCTAGTGTTACTTGATTTCCTTCCCTGTGGAATAAATAGAGCAAAAATCTATAATTCAGGATAACTCAGAACATAACATTCTTATCAGTTCATTATAAGAATGTAGGACTCCCTTATTACTCTAGTAAAAACTTGATACACTAAATCAATATCCATTTCATACTCAGCTTCTCCAGAATGCTTAAATTTGACAATTTCCTTGCCTTTTTATTCTGTATTTCAACAAAACCTTTGGCAACTCCATTTTACACTGAAACTCTTTATAATCTCTAGTATGTGTTATGCAGCCCTACAATTTTTTTTTCTAAAAGATAAATGCATAGCTGGATCAAATCCCCAAACCTGTAATTTGCACACAACAAGTGTTTTATTTAAACGAATGACACTCCTTTCCTACTGCAAATTGAAAATGTGTGGGGCAGTTAAAAATTATAGAGCTTTATTTCTGCAAACCTATTCATAGCCTAATGCTTTTGTAACAAATTATCAGATAATTCCCTTCATTTTGTTCTCCTTTAATTCTCCATTTCTAGATAAAGTTGCTTCTATCTCTTCTCTTCTCTTCTCTTCTCTTCTCTCCTCTCCTCTTCTCCTCCTCTCTTCTCCCTTCTCTCTTCTCTTCCCTTCTCTCCAAGTCCATTTACATGATAACTTCTTTCTTATTCAAACAACCTTACTCTGGGAAGCTTGACTGGTGTCTCTATATGGGGTTTAGATTGCATTCTCCATAACTCTGCTTGGAGCCATCTACTATGTTTGAGATTACAAACCACATCCAAAGTGCAAACCACAGAGAATGAGCTGTTTTCCCAGAAATCCCACTGGAGGAATATAAAAAGGTGTTTGTCAGAGAGTCCGTACTCTTTTTAAATACTAATAATAATCATAGTCCACCAGAGTCAGCTAAGGAAGAAAAAGAGACATTGGAAAAATACTTGAAGTACTATGAAGAAGATGCACTGAAGCAGTGATGGGATTCAAAAATGTTAATACTGGTTCTGTGGGCATGGCTTGGTGGGCGTGGCAGGGGAAGGATACTGTAAAATCTCCATCCCTTCCCCACTCCAGTGGAAGGATACTGCAAAATCCCCATTCTCACCCAACTCTGGGGCCAGCCTGAGGTGGGTATTTACCGGTTCTCCGAACTACTCAAAATGTCCACTATCGGTTCTCCAGAACTGATCAGAACCTGCTGAATACCAACTCTGCACTGAGGCTTGTACATCACGAAGGCTTCCTGAGAGATCAAACTGGATTACCAGAAAGGCCAAATAAAGCATAGAAAAGAGACATGGCAAGGCAAAATACTATATGGCAAAACAAATAGCAACAAGAACTGCCAATAGCTAGGAACAAGAAAACTGAAGAGACAGAGGGGCTCATTCTGACTATACAAGACCAAGCCTTAATAACAAAGCCAGAATGGAGAAGACAGCAACAAATAGCAAGTGCCATCTGTACAAAAAAGCTGAAGAAACAGCAGACCACTTAGTAAGCTGCTACAAGAGCAGAAAGATCTTGCGTAGAGCCATGGTAGTGCAGTGGTTGGAATGCAGTATTGCAAGCTGATTCTGCATTACCTCTGCCAGCAGTTCGATCCTGACTGGCTCCAGGTTGACTCAGCCTTCCCTCCTTCCGAGGTTGGTAAAATGAGGGCCCAGATTGTTGTGGGGGGGAAACATGCTGACCGTGTAAATCACCTAGTGGGGGCTGTAAATGATTATGAAGCAGCATATAAGTCTAAGTGCTATTGCTATTGACTATAAACAACAGCATGACAAAGTAGTCACAATGGTGAAATGAAAGATCTGTAAGAAATAGCAGTAGCATTTAGACTTATATGCCGCTTCACAGTACTCCACAGCCCTCTCTAAGCAGTTTACAGAGTCAGCATGTTGCCGCCAACAATCTGGGTGCTCATTTTACCAACCTCGGAAAGATGGAAGGCTGAGTCAAGTCAGGATTGAACTCCTGGCAGTGGGCAGAGTCAGCTTGCAATACTGCATTCTAACCACTGCGCCACCACACAGTGGGACCACAAGATATTCCAAGTAATAGAAAATAAAGAGGCGAAAATATCCTGAGATTTAGAATTCAAACAGACAAGCACCTGTCACTTAACACACCAATGACTATTGATAAGAAAGAAAGTTTAGATAGCAGACTTTGCAGAACGTGGAGAGAGCAGAAGAGAAAGAATTGGAGAAAATGCAAAGAGCTCCATATAGAAGTACAATAACTCTGACAAAATTAAGCAAAGATAGCAACAATGGTATGCCATCTCCAAACATCTGGAGCACCACATGAACACTATTGGCATTGACAAAGTCACCATCAGTCAATTGCAAAAGGCACCATCCAACAACAGCATCTGCCTATCCCCAGGGGCTTGGGAAGAACTATAGGCGGATAAAAATGCCAAATCCAGGCTAAACGTCTGGATGACTACGTGACCAACAGAGATTATAAAAGCAGGTCTAACTTAGGAAATGCCCTGTGGTTTGTTCCCTTCATCCTCTTCTTGCAAACTACACATTCCCTGTGTAAAACTGGATTTGTACGGGGGACCTTTCATATTGATTTTACTCTTGCCCAAAGAAAAGCTTCCTATTTTCAGTTTCTAGTCCCCTGCAATCACTAGTTAATAAAGGACACTTTGGCTTAGGTGATGTTTTTTAAATCTTTCTTTCCGGTTTTGATTAGAGGAGAGCTGTGATTCTTCTATAGATTTCTGCCATGCTAGATGTCTACACGCGTTAGACAAATTGAGGATTATCAGCGCTTATCTCTTTTTATAGCCTTAGCAGGCATGATTCGCTGTCCTCTAAGAGTGACCTGACAGGGATAAGACTTTAACTAAATCTCAAATCTTCTTGAGAATGAATTAGACCCTGCAGCTGAGAAAAGCAGGCGTCATTTTGAAACTTTTCTTCCATATCTACGACTTTCTATAACATTTTGCCTGAGAAAGAGCTTTGGAGAACTCCAAAGCTTGCAACATGCTGGTTCTTAATAATTGGATAGTTTCTTCATACTAATAACTGCACTGCGCTAGCCTTGTATCAGTGGTGGGATTCAAATAATTTAACTGGTTCTCTGCCCTAATGATTGGCTTGGTAGGCATGGCTGGGAGGTCATGTGACTGGGTGGGCGTGGCCAACTCAACATCACTCACGTTGATGGGCGCTTCACCTTAGCTGTTACAATGTAATAAGGGTTCACCAGAGAGGCAGTTTCTGTAAACAGGGCAATAAAGATTAGGCTAGAAACAATACCAGAATGTTTCCTTCCTGCCTTCCTTACTGGATTAGCCCTGTAAAGTGGAAAAAAACAAAATGAGATTTCTTCCAACAACTGGTTCTCCAAACTGCTTAGAAAGTTACCAACCGGTTCTCCCGAATAGGTGCGAACTGGCTGAATCCCACCACTGCCTTGTATTAAATTCAGCATCGTGTTTGCTAATTTTCTGGAGGAAAAGTGAATTTCCACAGGCATTTGACAGAGTAGAAAACAGGACTCAGAGGACTTAACAGACCTTCCTTTCAAATTCTGCAGGACTGTACTTTTTGTCTTAAAGGAGCTCTTTTAAAAGATGTGCAGGACAATAGTCAGGAATTTGGTGCCTCGTCATTTAGCGTGGGCAGGGATCAGAAATCATTTCATTTCATCTCTGTATCCAGCTTTCTATGTGGATACAGGTCAAGAACCAATGAAAATGTTTCTCCATAGGTATTTCCTTGTTTCCTCAAAACTCACCGCAAGATGTTGCTCTATGACCCCTTCTTCACAAATGTGTGAATTGCAAGGGTACCGTGTTGTACATTTTCTTTTGTCCGTACTCTCCAACATTTCACAGGTGAAAATGGTATCCTGTTGGGCCTGTGTGGGTAAGGTTGAAGAGCAGAATTTACAGTAGCTACCTGTTGTCTAGAAGATAACAGACAGTTAACCCAATAACCAACCTTACCTAGCACAAAGGTGTGTGGTACCGACCTTGCAACTTCATTATGCTGTGATCTGAATACACATACCTTTGTGTTAGGAAAGGTTGGTTATTGGGTTAACTGTCTGTTATCTTCTATCATATATGTTATTGAATCTACCTTTATGCTCCAGAGACCAGTGCTCAACTTGACTGTAGGTAACTTCGTGGACATTTCCATGGCTTGATCTTGGCAGTGGTATAGAAGTGCTTTCACCTTGCCGTAATTGCAGGGATAATTTTTTTTCCCGTGCTCCTTTATTTCTACAAATAAAAGCTCTGCTTCTGCCTGCTGACAGTCATCGGTCTTCTTTCATCGTTGAATGGGTTTGTTCCTGAATCTTCAGTTTGGGGACAACAGGCATTCATTCCAGTTATATATGGAAGCTCCTAAGGTCCAGCTACTTCCTTGAAATTATTCTTTTTTTTTCTCTCAAATGCTTCATAGCTTGAGGACTCTTCCTGATCTAAGATTCTCACACATGCTGGAAAGGCTGAACAGAAGCTGAAAAGTATTACAATTTTAGAAGGAATTCAAAACATATTTATTTTCCCAGGCTTTCAAAATTCTATTGCTTTTACTGTTGTTGTTTTTAATGGACGTTTGTGCGGTGCTTTGTAAGTAAGCTTAATGAAGGGAGCAAGTGACAAACAAACCATCCTTTGCAAACCACAATGGCTGGATGCAGGAGGCGAGATAATAAGCCATACCCTAGCCAGCTACATTACGGTTTGGTGTAATTCGTGAAACGAACAGCAGGATGAAAATCAAAATTCATAGAATGTGACTCAAGAATAGATTGCTTTATATCAGTATTCAATAATCGTTCCTATTTAACATGAAATCTTGTTGATGGACCATCGGGGCTTTTTCAGCAAGTTTGAAGAATTGGACAAACAACCAAAGTTCATTAAAAAAAAAATATTTTCAATCAGACAGTTCCTGGTAACATATTCATGATAGTGGCTGTGAGCACGCACACTGCACGGGGACACACACACACACACACACACACACACACACACACACACACACACACAGAGGGAGGGGAGAGAGAGAGAGAGAGAGAGAGAGAGAAATGCACCATCTTCCTTTTCAAGATACAGGGCATATTTATTAGAAAGAAAATTGTGCTTTCAGTACAAAGATTAATGCAAGGCTGCACCAAAAGCTAGCCAGAGCCTCTTTCAATGCTTACCTGTACATCAGTTGAATTTAAAGATCAAAAATGTAACTGAAAGCTGAGATTTTTTTTAAAGGGTTAAAATTCTCTCCTGTTGAGAGAAATAATGAAGCCCCAAGCACCACTCTCTGCCCAAAGTCTTTTGAAATGAATAAGAGCAGCCATCAAGTTCCACTGTCTACAGATTACAAATGTAATAAATAAATTCACGCACTTTGTATCTTAAACAAATGAAGAAAATATACTGCAGACCAACTGGGCGTTGGCTAATTAAAAAAAATACCTGTATATATTAGTCAATTACGTTTTGGAGTTTTAGAATCTCATATGCTCGTAATCTGAAACGTCTAATGTGAAGAACATCAGGACTCTTGTCTGTCTGTTAGTGAGTTTGATAATTCTCCCAAAAAAAAATCCATCCAGAAGAAAATCCCACATGCATCCCTAGAAGGGAATGAGAGGGGCAGATATGGTCATCTTCTGCATTCTCAGTCATTCCCCAGTCACAAGACCTAGAGCAGGAGTGTCAAACTCAAGGCCCGGGGGCCGGAGCCGTCCTGCAGGGTACTTAGATCTGGCTGATGGGGCCACCCTGGAAACAGAGAAGGACCACCCCAACATGCTTCTGCCAACAAAAACAGGCTCCCAAGCTCCGTTTTCAGCTGCCACAGGCTCCTGCAACTCTCTGCCAGTGAAAATGGAGCTCAGGAGGGCCGCATGTGGCAGAGAGCTGCGGGAAGCAATGGCAGCCGAAAATGAAGCTTGGGAGCTCATTTTCACTGGCAGAGCGCTTGACTGTCACAGGTGTCCCTGACATGAGTGGCATCAAGCTGGCCATGCCCATCCTCCCCGGCCGCCCGAGGTCAACCACAACCCTGATGATCAACTCAATGAAGTCGAGTTTGACATGCCTGACTTAAACTGTAACTACTTATAAAGGACTAAAAGGAATTTAAAAACTATGATTTGCATGTTATCTTACTGGCAGAGCCTTTTGAGATAAAGCAAGTCACAAAACAGATACCACATCAGCTAGTGGAAGTCTATCTTATTGTAGGGTGCAATAACAGAATCTTAAAAACTGGCAGGAAACTCACCTGTTAGTCTAAAGAATCAAGAATCAAGGCGAAATAAATCGTGAGGGTTTTTTCCTTACTCCACCTATATATCTGGGCAAAGTTTCATCCTTTCTTCAAGGCCATCTGCATACTCAACTGTACAGGTAGTACTCGTTCAGTGACTACAGTGGGTTCCAATGAAATGGACACTGGTTACTGGTGAAATAGGTGACAACACAAAACCAATGACTTTCCTACTTGTGTCTGACATAAGAACAAAAGTACAAAAAAGGAGAATGATACTGTGGCATCAACATGTGTTGTAATTTCATCACATTTGCAGCTACCCCAGATCTCTAAGTCTTGTTCTCAAAAGATATATAAAAAGTACCATTAAATAGGAGTTAATATTGCTGTTATATTTTCCCAATATTTTAAGTCAGTTCTTTATCTTTAAAAACATACTCACTATGTAGTAGTGAAAAAAAGCATCAGCCGTATTTTTGCATCTTTACTTTATGGAAATTAGTAGAGGTAACTTCTTAATAGTTGTACAATAATGATTAATAGTAATTTCTAGACTAATAATGGCAATTCTGAGCTAATAATGTTCTGCAGACTATGTTAGCCTATCTTATTTATTTCACTTGCATTCAACTTTGCTTCCAAAGTGTAAGTGTGTGTTCATTCTTTTTTTTTTTTTTTTTTTGCTATCTCTCCACTTTATTTCCACCACCTGCTAGGTTGAATCATGTCGAAAGATGCTGGCTCAAAAATATTCAATGATTTTCCTAACTGAGAAAGGATTTGAATATGAATATTTTTTCCTGGTCCATCCCTGGCACCATAATCATGACATAGTCCCTTAAAATATCTGTAAAGTTGCTAGTGACCAAATTATGCTAGCCAATCTGGATAGATTAGCAGACCAGATGACTGCATACTTCCAAGTATATGTGCAGTGCAATAATGGTGAATTAAAATCAGTGCATTCAACCTATCTACTTACCGACCTTCTTTCCTTTTTCTCCTTCTTTTCTTCTTTGTTTCTTTCCTTCTTTCCTTCCAGGTCCACCTGGCCCTCCTGGAGTTGTCATTGTTGAAGAAATCACAGAGGTCACTGCAACTCTTTCATGGTCTCCTGGAGTGGACAATCACAGTCCTATCACTTCTTACAACTTGCAAGCGCGAAGTCCATTTTCACTTGGCTGGCAGACTGTGAAAACAGGCAATATATTTTTATTATTATTATACAATTGTATCACAGCGGCCATTGGTTACTAGTCGGGCCCCACCCAGGGGCCTAAGACGTCGTAACGTATTTTCGTAATATGCGTGCAGATCCAAGCAGTGCGGCTTTTTGCATTTGACTGATGGTGATTTTGTCAATTTTTAACTGTTTTAAATGTAATTCCAGTGCTTTTGGAATAGTAGTAGTAGTAGTAGTAGTAGTAGTAGTAGTAGTAGTAGTAGTAGTAGTAGTAGTA